AGTGGGAGAACTTGCACAATTGGTGGCTGACTAAATACTTTTTTGCCCCACTGTATTATTGAAATACCCTAAAACAGAAAAAGGAAAACAACAGGACAGGTTTCTCATTCTCCAACATGATGTCTTCCGTATGTTATTTAAAAAATAAAATAAAATCCAGAAATCCCAACCACTGGCTGAAAATTATGGGACTTAAAACTACAAAATATGTGGAGGATTTCAAGTAACGATATGCTATGCAATCCAAATAAGCAAACTAATTTCAACATATGGATCAATTCCAATCACCACTACCTATCATTCTGCCCATGTAGTTAACAAGGTTAGCGTTCTAGTCATATAGCTGACTACAGAGATGACCCACTTAGAGCTCTTGAGTCATAGAAATTGTTCAGCAGCTTGGCACTGAGAGAACCAACAGAATTGATGAATGGAGAGCCAAAAAAAGCACCAAATCTGGTGAAAAGTTCTTCCTCTATTTACTTATTAAGTATGATACCAATAGGAAGGAGGAAGGAGATGGAAGGAGCTTTCCATATATGAGGAAGAGTGCACAGTAGACAACAAAAGATACAATCAGAGAATTCATGGATATTGAAAAGAAGAAAGCACTATAAAGGTTAAAAAGCTAAGGCATAACTGCTGCTCCTTAGCTTGTTAATCTTTATAATGCTTTTAGTTTACTTCAGGTATGTAGCAAGAAAGTAATACGCTAACATATTTAACAAAATATGTGTTTTAAGATAATAAATTAGTTACATACCCAGTATTATTTAGAATTTCTATAATCTGCTTGCTGAATCCACACTTTGCCATCTAAAATAGTAAACATACAAAACATTCTTTTCTACTAGATTAAACACACCATATGTATTAATTTTAAAATTGTGACGAACTGATTAGAAAATATTAAGATAGTCTCTGGATGTCCACATTTTCCAACCTGATACCCTCCAGAGATAGTGGATTACCACTCACATAATTACTTTAACTCCCATAGTCCAACTCATCTAGAAGGCAACAGGTTGGAACAGGCTATTATAAATAAGCAACAAAAAACAAGACATTCCAAAAATTAACATGTCAGAAAATCCTGATTAATACATTTGACTTCAACATCTAACACCAAAACCTAAGCTCATTTCATACAACCACAGGACTTTTTTTCCCCAGAATGACTGATACTTATACTAGTTCATCAAATATGCAATCTAGTCCATTGTGAACTTTCTATATATCTATGTGCCTAGGCACACATGAATGCATGACTACAGGTAGTCTTTAACAACCACAATTGGGACTGTCAACTTGGTTAAGTGAAGCGGTTGCTAAGTGAAACTGCAACTGTGCTTATGATCTTACTTCAGCTTTTCTCTGCTTTACAGACATGCAAAGGTTCTAAATACGAGGACTGGTCGAGAAGTTACGTTTTCATCACCGTTGTAACTGCAAATGGTAGCTAAACAAGGACAACCTATATATAAAGTCAGTATTTAGAACTACCTCCAATTCTGCTAGTGAACTCTTCAAAAGCTATACTTCAGGGGCTCCTTCCCCTTGAAGAATGGCTGAAAATATGTGTTTAAATCTGTATTTAGGTAGTTCTCTAGCCAAAAAGACCTAGAATTATACTTCAGTTTTAGAAATAGATATTTTCATGCTCCCAACCTTTCATGCACATTTTCCAGCTGACTTTTCCTTATGGTCTGGGACTGCAGTTCCTAGAATTCTTATACAAAACCATGCATTCTGACATTGTAGTTTTATTGTATCTAGAAGTCATAAAGTTGGGAACAGCTAATGCATTATTTTAATAAGCTGCAAGGATCATCAGACTAAAACACTCCTACAAGTCTTACCTGTTTATTCCCTTTCATGAACAGCATCACAGGAGCCTTGTTTATTAACTCTTTGAGTCTAGAAAAGGAAAATATTGATAAAACCTGAGCATTAGTTTGTAGGAGAATATCGATCAAAAACAGATTTTAATTGAAGTGTGTAACTATACTTTCAACAATTTCATGTTTGCCTTTTTTCTCCATAACAAGATATGGCTTTTAAAATTATTTTTCTAACAATACTTTTCTATACATGAATTTAAAGAGGCTTTCTCTAAAACTGGCAGTTTCCCAACTACTGATTTACATTCTAAATACATTAAAGAGTAATACTTAGTATGCTCGATGTTTTTGCAAATAAGAGAGATTAATGTAGCGTACAACAGAAGTAGTAAGTTTCAATTATTCTCATGAATTTATAATAATTTTTAACAAAAAAGAAAATGTAAGATGTATTCCCAAAAGTGGGAAACAAAACTTAATATAAAGACAGATGTGGTTAATCCCACCCTTTCAAAGCACCTACTTCAGTAACAAAGGCACAAAATTCTAAAGTTAGCAATGGATTTTCAAGCATTAACTTCTTTTCTTACAATTCCACCTGGAATCGTAGCACTTAATCTCCACTGAACATAGTAGGAATTACTTCAAAATAATACCAAAGAATTGCGCTGATGCTCTAGAGTCTTGAAACCATTTTTGTCAACTTTATTCAGTTTCTGAACTTAATCATGAGTACTCAAATATATCCCATAAATAATGTTTTTCTTCTGCTCTCTACCTCAGTAAAGCTATTTTAATTAACAAGGCATTAAGACTTTTAGCTCTGTGACGGTATTTTAACAATGAGTATTGTTAATATACAAAGGGTAATGAGGTAACAGTAAAACCTCAGAAAATCTGTGCCTAGGAATATGTACAAAGTTATAAAGCAAAGGGAACTTCCACAGCTGAGAGCTGGAGATGAAGTTAAAACATTCCCACCCCAGAATATCAGTTTCAATCTTACAAGAAGTACAGGTAGTCCTTGTTTAACAACCACAATGGGGACTGGAAAATTTGTTAAGTGAGTCATGCCCAATTTTACAACCTTTTTTGCAGTGGTCATTAAGTGAATCACATGGCTCCCCATTGATTTTGCTTGCCGAAAGCTGGCTGGGAAGGTCGCAAATGGTGATCATGTGATCCTGGGACGCTGAAACCGTTGTAAGTGTGAGCTGGTTGCCACGCGCCCAGATCACGAGTACATGACTGCAGGGGTGCTGTGACGATTGTAAGTGTGAGAATCAGTTGTAAGTCCCTTCAGCACCGTTGTAACTTTGAACAGTCACTAAACAAATCGACATTGAGGACCACCTGTATTACAACACAATTACAAACTTGCTAGAAATATTCCAACCTCAAAATCCACTTTTCTGACTTCTAAACAAAGACTGGAACAGCTCATTCCAAGATCCAGTAAGATCAGAAGCCCGTCAAAACCTCAGAACAGAACATTCTGGGATAAGACTGTTTTTATCTGGAAATGTTTTGCATAATCATTTTTATGTAAGTTATGCTGGTTTGAGGAACTGAAAGAGTAATGAATTTTATAAAATTATAGTGCTTGTATATATGTGATAGATGAAAGAACTGAACATCAATTCTCCTTAAGCCATTAGTGTAGGGAATAACCACCTATCAGTTTTCCAATGATGATAAGACAACATTTTTTTCCATCCCTGACTATTAGCCATGCTGGTTGGGACTAATCTGATTTGGCAATCATCATTTTCTAGAGGAGCACTGCATATTCTTATGCTAGAGTAGGTATAGAAAAAAAGAAATCAGGCTGAAAGACACTAAAAGGAAAAAAGAGATGCTGATGCACATATAATACACTCTGTTGTGCAGGTTTCCTTCCATCACTTATTTAATAACTTTAAACCGGACAACTATTAAATTCAGTCATGGAATATACCCTTTCTTCTTCTTGATAATAAACCGAAAACAAAATACATCATACCTGTCCTCCAATTTGTGTGCCTTAGGGCAGACCGTATCCAATTCTCCTGAAGCCTCAAGCTCCTAAAATACAATAATGAACAGTCTTTGTATTCATAACAGACTTTTTTTAAAGTTAGATTTTTTAAAAAAGAAACAGATAATTTTATTTTCTAACCTTAACAATATCCAATCCACCTATAAGCTCTCCAGTTACATATAACTGTGGATAAGTAGGCCAGTTGGAATACGTTTTTAGACCCTGGCGTACTTCTTCATCAGAAAATATATCAAAGCTGCTAAACACAATGTTATGTTTGTTAAGAATTTCTACCATTTGTCTGCTGAAACCTGGAAGATGGGGGAGACAAAAAGAAAAAAAGCACAATTTTTAATGAGGCTATATCTATCTTTAACCAAGGGAAGTCTCCCACAGAATGAAATTATAAAAGCAACAATTAGAAGACTTAGTTTATGTGGTTCATGCACAATAAATGTATAACAGTTTATAAACATTGTTCATAACTTTATTCCAGGTATCACTATCAATCCCTGACAACTTTCCTCCTCCCCAACTGTGGGCCATCACTGAAAATATATTCACATTAATGGAGATTTCATGGTTCACATCAACCAGAGAATTCTGGCTTAATTTTGTCAGTTAACAAAACATTCTAATAATTCAAGGTTTAAAATTAAGCAGCACCCAAGAGGTGGAGGAAACAGGAGAAAGGCACAGTGAAATAGGATCACTTACCCTTCTCCTTACTGCCAACTGTGCAACTGTGATACAAAGCTATTTGATATTTATACTAGAGTATGAAACAGATTATTTTACTATCAACTCCATTTATATAAGAGTAATAAAACTACCTACAAAACGGAACATCTATGAATTATACATCAACAACCCATATAATCTCTTGTCCACTGTATTTAAATGTTCTTACAAAACAGAAAGCTTCCTTATGTGTCTATATGTGTTGCACACAGCCATGTGTGCATAGCTTTGTGTGGTATATGAAAAATATTGGCCAATTTACAAAAAGTTCTAAGACACCAGATGTGTTATGACAGTTTTAAAATAAGTGCACATTCTAAAGAACCTGTACAAGATTTCTATCTGGCAAATTTGCCCATTACTTTTGTTTTGTGCTGTAGCTTGAGGTTTTCATAATCTGCATTTTGAGCCAAGAGCAAACAGTATTTATTTATATGATGTATACGTTGCTTTTCTTCACACAACTGAAGCATTAAGTTCTTGTACTGCCTCGAGTGAAACAAGGATCCTGATCCCCCTCCCTTCCCCCATTCATCTGGGAGTTCATTAGTAAACAGCTATGGGGTGATTGCTGATGGTTATTATGCTACCAATATATTAATTCATTTCTACTGTAAGAGGCTTCTAGAGAAAGAGAACGAACCCTTTATTTTAGCTGTAGGCAACTATAAACAGACAAAAAGATTGATTGGTGGGATTTTATTTTTAAGGGTTAAAGTAGCAGACTGAAAATGTTATGCTTAAGGTAAAGTACCAACACTACTTTATTCCCATAACAAAATACTTGACTTTTAAAAACCAATACAATCTGAGCAATATAAAAGCTAATGAAAGCATGTCTGAAGTGTACATGTAAGAACATACAGACCAAGGCTGCATAACAGGAATGCCACACTGGAAGAGATAGAAAGCTATGTATAATCACTGTATAATACTAATGAGGTCAGCAAGCAAAACACCTATAAGCTCAGACCCAAAGGGACAGACATAATTTAACATTATTGTAAACAGATTTTATATAGGCAGTGATGAAATACCAGACGTAACAAGGATTGCTGCTTCCAATAATTCAATTACACTCAGTTGCAACTGACAAACCATTGTCCTTCTTATGGAAATTAGCCTGGACACAATCTGTTAGGAACTTTAGCACAAGTAATACTGTGCAGTTGATCTCCTGTTCTGCAAGCACAGTTATACAGTGCTTACAGTATAAGGCAATCTAGGGAATTTATAATATACACTCATAACTATTTTTGTGAGCTTCCTGGGGAAATATGGGCCAAATTATAGATAATTTGTTGTTGTTATAAATTTGCATGAGGTTTATGGATAGACGCAGCAGTAGCACAGTTCAGCTAAAACCCATCTCTTCCTGAAATCCATTTATGTTCAGGTCCTTGCTGTTCTAGAATAAGTGACATCCCTTATCAATCAGTATTACACTAAATTCAATATAATACTTCACTCAACTCAATGAAGCGCTCCATCTTACACATACACTTCTCTGTAAGAAACAATTCATATAGTAGAGTGTTTACATCAAGCCAATACACAGCAAATTAATTAAGATAGAAATTTTTTGAGATAGAGGTTAATGAGTAAAGATAGAAACAAGAAAATGAGTAAAGAGAAGGGAAACGATAATAATTAGATTCAAAGTTTGGTTCATTACCAAAACAATGATCTGCTTAAAGAATGAATCTATTATTACAATAATTATTATTATTACAGGAGGTCCATTTTTGTCACTGATAGATATTACTCAAAAACTATACAGGTGCTATATAGGTATTTATAAACGAACTTGGAATCTTTTATACTCCTTTAGATATAAATGTAGCTCAATGATTCTCAAATGTTCAAGTATCTCTACCACCAACCCTCCCATTTTGAAGACAGAGAACATCAGAGAGAGTACTAACTTATAGGATACAGGTGTTAGCCTGAAGTGGATGAAGTTTTCTTCTCCTCGGCAACCAAGCTGCGCACCTCATTGATCCATGTTATATATGCGAAAGCAATTACTTCAAACCTTTGCCTATCTTCCACACTTGAAATGCTATTCTACTTTAAGTTTGAAGCTTTCCTTTATGTGAGTTTAGGAAAGAGTGGAGAAATTATATTCTATTCACCTTTCCCTGCCAATGTTGAAAGAGTTTCAATCTACCAAAAGTCACACCACAAACTGTAAGCAAGGATTTCTATATATCTCTTCCCCATATACTCCATATAGGACTTAACCTCTGTATCTCCTTCCCTCTTCCCCTTTCTATCCAAAATGATCTGCAGTATTCTTAATCTAACAACAATTCCTGAATATCCTGAGCCCAGAAAACCAGACCTGGGTATAGCATAGCTGCAGTTAAAGCCTTTCAAGGAAACCTTGAAAGGAAGCTGCACCAAGACAAGTGTGTCATCCACTATTTAGCACCCAGGACAAAAGGTTTAGCAGTGCTGCTAAAAAGAGTCCTGATCAGTCCTGAGCATTCAGAGATCAGATGCTAAAAACAAAACAAAACCTGTAACATAAATCGTATAATAAATTGTCCCACTACACAAATATTCAAAATAATTCTTACCACAACGAGGTTCATGAGGCGTTCCCTTCATAAACAACATGCAAGGTGCAGCATTAATCAGTTTCTTGAGTCGTGAATTAAGGTCCTCTTTTTCATTATCAGCAGAACCAGATGAAAGAGTCAAACTAGATGCGTGACGCTGAACTTTTTTGGTCAGTTCTGGTGCATGAGCACCATCCAATCGGTCAATTTTCTGGGAATTCTGTCAATAGACAACAGCAGTTCTGATCAATCTGCAAGGGCCACAAAAACACATTTCTAAAAGCTATCACCTCACCATATAAAAAAAAATCATACTGTTGTATGAAAAGCTCCAAGAGAAATTCAAATATGGCAGCTGATGTAAACCTCATTTCAACAGGACTAATAAAACAGAAGAAGTAAACACACTCACAAAGCATAGTAAGTTAATAAGCTCCTCAGTGGGCATGATAATCTAAATTGTTAAAACACAGCTTCTAAAATTACCTAGTAACTAAGTTATCAATTTGATTTTCACATGGTTATTTAACAGTACAACAACTGAAATGCAGTTCCTTATGAATACCTTCTGGAGTAATATTTGATTTATTAAAAAACAGGAATTCTATATAACTTAATCATGAAGATCTTAACTTATTTTTTTATAAATCAAATATTACCCCAACATTTATCTTACCGGTACTGGAAATAATGTATTCTCCTCCAAAGCATATATTCAAGAAAGATAAAATAAGTTTACCTTAAAAAACAAGAATGTTGGAACAGAAGAAATTTCATATTTTTCAGATACTTCTGGAACTGCTTCAGCTTCCAGCTTTTAAAAAAAGAAGGAAATATGATTTTATTTCCAAAAGCTTATTTATAGTTTATATTGCACTGGCTGATCTTGTCTACACTGTTCTTTTAGTCATGTTAAATGTTTAAAAAGGATTTCAGTGCAAAAGTTTGTGACACATTTGCATTTAAATGAAACTCACAGGGCAGGCTTGTCATCCACTGAGCCTGCCGTGTCAAAACAGGTTCAGAGGTTTTTATTTTGTTGCACATTTCAAAAGATGCCTAGAGGCTGTGAATAAAATTCGTGGTGCACTAGTGACCTAGTAAATTTTCAATCATATGCAGCTACTACTATATTGAAATCCATAAATCACTGACCCCAGTTATGTCATGATTACAGTGCTTATTTTCTGCCCACAGCAATTCTTGCTGTTTGCTCTATTGACTAATTTCAAGAGGCAGTACATCATGACTGACATTTCCAGCCTTCTGCAAATTATGAAGCAAAAAAGGAGTATTTCTTCAATAAACTATTGATGCCTGGTACATTTTAGTTTTTAACTCGTGAAAGACCATTAGATATTAGCACATTACTAAGTTGACAACAGAAATTGATAATCAAATATGAAACTGCAAAAAAATGTAATTTGCACAGAGGCTTCCATTTCCAAACCAAAGTCCTGATGTAATCTTGCATACTTGGAAATTATCAATGAGAAGGCTAAACAATTTGAAGAGGGAAGATAAGCAAGTGTAAGAGACATTAATGCTTTAATTGTACAATCAAATTATGTTTGTTATGTGCAATATAAATATATTATAACAAACATCATAAGAGTTGGTGACTTTTAGGCTTAAAATTTGGATACCCCCAAATTGATTATTTGACCATAGTAAGAGATTTTCTCCAATCTACTACCAACCAGATGTTTTGAAGTTCAACATATTTTGAGAGTGCTAGGTTGGTTAAAGGATTCAAATATTTTTCTGGAAGTGGCAAATAAAGATGTTTAAACAAAGACTTTTTGCATAATACACACATAATATAGAAGATCAAAACTACAAATCTGAATGACTTACTTGAATAATAAAACAGTCTAAAACTATATATAGTAAACATTTAAGATACAGACATTGGCGTGAAGGTGCAAGTTAATAAATAGAAGTAATGCTGCTAGCTTTCACTAAGCAATAAAAATTCCATAACTATAAATATTGATGTGAGCATTCAACAGCTATGTTCAAAGTATCATTGTAAAAACCATTAATTATGAAAAATTAGTTAATATGTAACTCTAGATACATAATGGTTTAGGGTAGCTTTCCTCAAACTTGTTCCCCTCCAAATCTGAGGACCAACTCCTAAAATTCTCTGGCTACCATAGGACTAGCTGAGAACTCTGGGAGTTGATGTCTGCACATTAGGATGGTGACCAAGTAGGGAAAATGCTTTGGGGCCTACATGGGGGTTTAAAGGATAAATTTTGCACCTCTCTATAAGATTAATAATAGGAAATGTTACATCTGTTAGATATATGAAGGGACCATGGTAATGGAGCACAATTGTCAAAATGTTACAATACTAAATAATTTCACTCTTCCTGTAAGCTTGTCTCGTTCTTTGTCTGCAGTTTTTCATGCAGAGCATAAGCTTAATTTACTTGAGAAGAAAAACTGCACTATGTCCAGTGGACCTTACTCTCCATTAAGTATGTCTAAGACTGTATTGAAGATCATACAATCTACATAATTTTTTACTACATATTTTGAATGCATCAGATTGGACTGACAGTTCTCATTTGGAACTAGTCTCTAATAGGATTGCCACTTACCTTGTTTTCCACCCACTATTTGCATTTTGAATAAAATGTATCACCCTCAGGACTAATCTAGATGGGACTTAAATGCATACAGGGAGTCCTTGCTTACCAACCACTTGTTTTTGTAGCGACCATTTGAAGTTACGAAGGTGCTGAAAAAATAACTTTACGGCCAATTTATGACCATATACAACCTTTGCAGCATCCCTCAGTTATGTAATACGCATTGCCCTGTGCCTGACCTGCGATTTTTTTCTCCCCCCGCCCCTTGGGGAGCACAGAGATCGGAGAGGAAGGGATTGCAAGAGAGTAAGCACACATGGAAAGCAATACAGTTGTGCTGGCAGCAGGAAAGGGTCAGGCAAAGGACAGATTGCCTACAGAAATTGCTTGCTTTACTTCTCCCCCTGCAGAATGGAGAGTGTGGAGAGGAAGAGACTTCAAGAGAGTACTGTAAACTGTTTGCATAGCATGCCTGTGGTTCCCAGCCCCAGGCTGGTGGTGTGACTGCACTGCTTTTGATGTGTAGAAGAGCAAACAGCTTACTCTCTTGCAATCCCTTCCTCTCCAATCTCTCTGTTCTGTGAGGAGAGGGGAAGAGTCAGGCAAAGGAAAGATTGCCTACCAAAATTGCTTGCTTTCCCCCTCCCACAGAGAAGAGAGATTGGAGAGGAAACGATTTCAAGAGAGTACGCTGTTATGTATAGTGTATCTGCAGTTCCAAGCCCCAGGCTGCCTGTGTGACAGCAATGCTTTTAATGTGTAAAAGACAGTAACCAGGCACTCAAGCATTCCAAAGGGCAGAGGAATGGTTCGGAGGCAAACAGAAGCCAAAGATGTCAAACTGAGTACAGTAGTCTTGTCTCTTTCCAGCCAGAAAGCACAGTTGTGGTCACGTGATTTCCCACTTAGCGACCGCTTTGCATAGCGGTGGAGTTGCCAGTCCCAATCAGAGTCATTAAGTGAGAACTACCTGTAATACTCTATTACCACATAATATTATTACCACATTTAACTATGAATGCACAGAATTCATTATAGCCTTTAATTCTTAAATTTCACAACTTAGGCTTCCTGATTCTTCTCGTTTTATTTAAGATTTCAGGAATGATATTTACATTTTACATTATCTTCCTCTATAAGGAAAGCTTGCACATCAAAGAGAATTCTGGAGACTGCTCAACTCTTTTATGTCTCCTCCATCCTCATCAAAGTTCATTTAAAAGCTCATCCATTTTTGTTAATCACTACCACTGATATAAGAACCAATTAACTTTATAATTAATGTGACTTCAGGCAATACATTAACAGACTTGCAGACTAATGTAATTTTACTATTATAACTATGTTACTGATAGTAATCTAATGCTGCATAACTCAACAAATAATACAAGTATTATGGTATAACTTGTTTCATACTTATTCATCAGTACCAACACTATTTGGTGAAACACTATACTGAATTACAAAAAAACTAATTTATTCATTAAAAAATCTGTATCCTACTTCTCATTAAAAAGAATTTCAAAGCAGTTTACACCTCTAATAAAATAAAGTAAAAAAAAATATGAGGGAGAGTTAAAAACTAGGGATGGTCAACCTAAAATGGTACATTTTAAAAATACATCTAAAACACTTCAGCAAGTGGGTCTGACGTAATGTAGAGTGGATATTATTCCATGGAACAATAGCTACCGATCATTATTAAACAGCACTCTGTAAACAACATTAACGAGGAGACTGCCCCCAAAGATTGTAACTACCTGGAAGACTGATGTAACTGGAAATATTCTTTGAAGATATTCACATCGCAATGGAGCATACAAACTTTCAAATATACAAGTAGTCCTTGGTTAATAACTGCCTCATTCAGCGACCGTTTGAACTTACGATGGCACTGAAAAAGATTTACAACCGGCCCTCAAACTTACGGCCGTTGCAGCATTCCCATGGTCATGTGATTGCCATTTGTGACCTTCGCAGCCACTTAACGACTGCAGAACTGATGTAGTAAGTTGGACACAGTCACGTGATGTTTTACTTAACGACTTGTCGCTTAGCAATGAAGTTGCCAGTCCCAATTGTGGTTGTCAAGGGAGCATTACCTATAATCTCAAGCCTGTGTGTGTACATATAATGGCATGTATATAAAACCTAACTCCTTTCATTATTCTTGGCCATCAGAGAAAGTTGTAATATTATATTTGAGTGTTAAGTTCTATTGAAAATAAAAGAACATAAATGGAACTGATATTTCAATAATTTTTAAGCTATGCTTAGTTACAATATACTAAATTATAACTAATGTCCCATTGATTTCAAGAATTTACCATGAGTGTAAGAATGGAACTTACTCAGAGCTTTTAAATCCAAACAAATATCATCTTTGACATGTAATCTATAAGCAAGATACTGCTGACTTTAAGTTTGTACTTCATTTTTTGTACTGTAGTTCTCATTACTATTCATAACAAAAATTCCTCACATAAAACTGAAAATTATGCCCTTACTACTACCCTAGATATGGATATTAATATAACTGGAAATTAAAAATAAGCATTCTCTTAAATAAGCTTTTTTAATTTTAGTTTTCAATGCTTGGTTTATAATGATCAAAAAAACAGTAGGAAAGATCAGAGAAAACCTCTGTGTTAATTGTGACAGGACTGTCTATTATTAGAAATTATCCTAGATTATCCTCAGAATTATCCAGTCTCCCTTTCTCAATAGACTGGAACTCAAACAGCACTCTACAAGTGGCTAAGTGTTTTGGTTTGACATTGTGGTTTTTCAGCTTTAGACTTCAGTTTCATTGTTTCTACACTGGCATTATCTCAGGTATCAACATTATTGCTTACAAGAATATACACGTCTAATAAAAAGACAAAATAGGCTCATAGGGACTGACTTAGATATGTGAGTTCCCAGAAAAATAATTATGAAAACAAGAAAAAAAATGTTTTCTTCTACCTTTGAAAAAAAGAACATTCCTATTTTAAATGATACATGAAAAGGTTAAGATATAAAAACACTCAAGTTTTCTGAAGTCCATAAAAATGTTATAAAAATAAAGATTCAAAAGTAACAAACTGCCGATAGTGATAGCATAGGTGATAGATAGATAGATGATAGTGACAGTGATGCTGATAGATACTTAATATGCAAAAATTGAGACTTATTTAGACAAAACGTCATGTGGCAAAATGTGTATTCTAAGCCTTAGTCATTCCCCACAGCATTTTCTTATTGATATAGTGAGAAATAAAGCAGAAACATTTAAGTTTATTTCTCTATAGTGTTGGTAATTTCTTCAGTTTCTGACTTTAATTTTTTGTCTCCCCATTTTTCCTAAAGAAGCAAATATGCAGAAAAGCTTTATTTTTAATTAAATTTTAAATAAATTCAATCAATTCATTTAACTATTAATATATGGTTTTTCAATCTTATACACGAAACAAACCATGTTATAAATAACATATTTTATAAAGTATTAAGGAAAGTTAATTTCCATAAAGTATTTTTTTTAAAATTAGGTATCATGTATATTTCAGTTTACACCAACTTTTTTCTTTTAAATAAATTTCTTTTCTTGTCACTTCAAAATTTCCATCTATTTTGCATTTCTACACTAACTGCCAGCAAGTATACATATTACAGCAGTCAGATATACATGATTACAATTACAGTGGACTTATGTTTCCTTGACTATTCGAAACATCTTACTGGGAACTGTAAATACTCCCATACCTAGTATAGAGATCATAATACTGTGGATGGCAGATAATGATACCGTGGATTAATATAAATAATTTAAAGAGGCAGGCATGTTAGTCAACTGAACTGCATTAAAAAGAGAGATCTGCTTAATCAGCAGCATCATATGATAAATCAAATAATAATTGTTTTATTATTTAAAAATGACACTACAATAAAGCCTTTTACAGGCCTCAATTCAGCAGATTTTGGATATAACAGACAAAATCTGCATTTCAGACAATAATAGACTTCACCCTAAGCAACAGACAAAGTCTGTTCTCTGGCAATTCAGTTCAGACAATTAACACACATCATGTACTTTTAAGCATATTATGTACATTTTATATGTGTGTATCACCCCATTTGCCTTTTATCTGATATTCATCCCTTCCTCCCATTAGTTTGTTAAATCAAGGGCTTATTGTATACTATCTTAATTTCAAAATCCTTGGGATTTAACTACATTTCCAATAGGATTTTATGTTGAAAACTGGAATTGTTACTCTGAAAAACTGTTAGCTTAAGTAAAAAAAAGAATGAAAAATACTACAATTCTAATTAAATTTCAAGACGTCAAAGAGTCAGATACTGTATTTATTTCAAGTGTAATCTCTAGCCTGTTGTGCTTGCTTGTAAGACTATAGCCATATAAGAGCTATTAAAAATAAAGCATGACAACAATGTTTGGAAGAGTCTCTTTTACTGTGACTACTGACACAATCCAATCCCCACTGATGTTTATAAATAAATTCTGTGCGGCACCATTTTTTGCATGGCCAAACATTTTAAATATTTTTAAAATATTTTTTATATCCACATTTTAAAAAGCTTATTTTGGTTTAAAGGTAATAGAAGATATTCACTTTTACTAAAGAAAGTATTTGATATCTCACCAATGCAGATAGGGAAGCAGTAATTGCAAGGTTGAGCAAAACTCACTTGCTCCAATTCACATTTTTAAGCAATCTGGATTAGCTGGACATTTTGTTTTGTTCTCCCGTTTCCCCTGTGTGTACAAAGTCAGCAATCACACATATATTGACTTACTTTCACAAACAAAACCTGTGGATGCTCTTTTGCTAGTTCAGCCATGACATTATTCATCTGAATGCACTGAGGAGCCCATGGGGCCCAAAAATGAACCACCACTAAAGACCTGCAATAAGAAAAGGAAACACATAGTCAGATATTTGTGCAGACCAGAGAAATATAAAAAGCAACTAGAGGCATGGTGTAAGAATTTGGCAAACAGTCACTGAAAAAAACTCCTCTTTGTCTAAGTTGTTGGAGAACCACTGTCAGTCAAAATAGACAGTAGCAATGGACCAAGATTTTGACAAGATATATTACCAGTCCCTATATTCCCTACAGCCTGCCTCCTGATTCTACTCAAGGCTGATCCAAATTCATCTCACATTCATTGTCATTCCCTTCACATCCAGTTTACTGCTGCTAAAGAATAGACCCTGACAGCTGCTCCTCAGTGGGAAGTTGAATATCAAAGACTTCCAATCCAGCCATACTCTGTATAACCACAGAAGTTACAAAAGTTGAAAGTATTAGTTTACTTCCCACATAACTGTTGGTACCCTACCCCACTCGCTCAGTTGTAGTTAAAAACATTCTGTACAGAAAGCTAGGAAATGACAGAAACTTTCTTTTAAAAGTTGCAATTGACTTTTTGGGCTTCTGGGGAAGAAATGGCGAACTGAAAGATGGCTCCACATGCCATTGGCAGAAGGAAGAGCTGCCAAAAATGTTTGTTTTGAATTCTTAAAAAAAAAAAATGATAGGATGGAACTTTGAAGGTTGGACACTAAAGGGAACTAGAAGGAACTAAAGACTACAATTAAAGAAGATAAATTTGACTTACTAATACAAAATGGAGCAAAATATTTTAACATTGCACATATTGAAGGATATTTTT